ATTGAAATGTGCTGAGAGTAGAATCTAAATGTTCTAAATAAATAGATAGATAGATAGATAGATAGATAGATAGATAGATAGATAAATAAGTGAGGTGATAAAGTGTTAACTGGATGGGGGGAATCCTTTCACAATATACATGTATACCAAATCATTATGACATACATTTTAAATATCTTACAATTTTGTCAATTATATCTCAATAAAGCTGAAAAAAAAAAATACACACACACACCAAAATGAAAGAATCAGGTCTGAGGAAAATAGAATGACATCTTTAAAGTAATGAAAGAAAAGTACAAACCCAGAACTCTGTATACTACTAGGGAAAATGTATTTTCAAAAATGAAGGCATGGAGGTGGTTCCATAGTGTAGCGGTGAGCACGTCTGCTTTACACGCAGAAGGTCCTGGGTTCACACCCCAGTAGAGCTATGGTCCAGGGTTATGGCCATGCCACCCTGAACAAGCCCAATGTCTGATCTCAGAAGCTAAGCAGGGTTGGGCCTGGTTAATACTTGGATGGGAGACCACCTAGGAAGACCAGGTGCTGTAGGCATAAATAATAATAATAAAAAAAAAGAAAGCAAAATAAAGACTTTTTGGGGATCAAGAAATGCCAAAAGAATTTATTACCAGAAGACCTGTACTATAAGAAATGTTAAAAGACATTTTTTAGACAGGAAGAGTGACAGAAATGGGAAATATGTGAGAAGTGTTTCTCATTTCAATTTCTTAAAAAGACAGATGACTGTTTAAAGGAAAAAGAATCCCAATGTACTATGGGATTTATAACAAGGCAAAAGTGAAATGTTTGTTACTAAAGGGTAGGAGGAGGAAAGTGGAAGTGTATTGCTGTAAGGGTCATACACTATACACGTATTGGTACATTATTATTTGAGGTACGCTTTGTCAAGTTAAAGATGAATACTGTAAATTCTAGAGCTTAAAACAGAGGTGTAATTAATAATAATGAAGATTAAATGGAATAAAAAAATCTTAATTCAAAAGAAGGTAAGAAAAGAGAGAAAAGGAAGAAATACTAGATAGGACAAATAATAGCAAGATGGCAGATTTAAACACAACCATATTTATAGTTACATCGAATGAAAATGATCTAAACACTTTAATTAAAAGGCAGAGGTTATGAGACCTGGATAAAAAAATCAAGACTTAACTACATACTATCTACCAAATGTCCGTTTTAAATATAAAGATACGGAAAGGTTAAATATAAAAGATTGGGAAAAGATATAGTGTGCAAACATTCATTTTTTTAAAAAGTTGGAGCGGCTACATTAATATCAGACAAAGTAGATGTCAGAACAAGAAATAGTACCAATATTACAAAACTTGTATCGAATTGTAAAAACTTAGAGCGGAAAACAGTTTAGATTTGATGCAATACTGACAACTAATATTTCAGGCTGAAACCCTGAATCATCACCAGAAATAAGTGTGACTATGATAGCTGCGGGCACTTCTCAGCCACACTGCTCACAGACAGGACAGGCAGTGCGAATCTCACCTAACAGCTTAAGTGAGGCTTCAGGGAAACGCGTGGCTATTGCAGTCACCGTCTCAATTCTGCGCATTCCATGTCACTGCTGCAGTCATTTAAACATGTGGCAACAATGGGATCTATTACTATTTGAAAGGATCCAGCGAATAAATACTAAAACAATTATTTTTATAGAGTGAACCTTGAGTATTTATGTGAGTATATATAAAGTGAAACAAAATTTCTTAATTCGAAAGGCGATTACTGGTTAGATACTAATCCGAGCATATAAACTGAGCCCAGGAAGCAATATCCTTTGCAAGAAGCCGAATTTATGGTAACTAAAATATAAAATACCATAGTGAAAAGCAAGAGTCATATCCGTGGACTTCCTGCAACCCATTTTGTAAACACTTAGAAATGGGCACATTCAAAGGGTTTTTTTTTAACAGATTTTTAAAATGAAAACTTTATTTTCCAAAAATGGTACATTTTTAATTTTTCTCCTCCAAGCAGATTGATTACCCTTTCAATCCCCACCTTAGAGGAAAAGCTTTTCCATCCAGGGGCCTGAAAGGGAGCCTATTACCATTTGAATTTCTGTGATATGCCTGCATTTTTAATATATTATCTTAAAAAAATCCTCATTAGAACCCTAATGAACTAGAGGTATATTTATTCTCAAGTCATATTTCTTCTTAGGCCAGTTTCCTTATTGAAAAAATAAGAAAAGCAGACTAAGTGATCTGTAAATTTCTCTCCAACTTTAATATTCCATGATTCTATATTAAAGATTCTGGTATCTGTTCCGAAGAAGCTTACAATTTGTTAAAGACAACAAAGTAATAATTTTAGACACTAGGAAAAACTGTAAATAATTTCAACCAAGCAAAAATTATTCATATAACTTGAATGGTGGACAGCTCTGAGAAATCAAGTTAAACCTCAGCCAGTTAGGATGTAAAATAAAGACCATACTAGGGATTGAGAGGGGAGGAAGGCAAAAAAGAATGGAAGGAGAGAAAGAGAATTTTTTATTAACCAAGATTAACAATGCAAAAATGATAACTCAGTCCCATTGGTCCCTCTAGGAAAACTGAACAAATATAAAAACACACACCTAGAATTATTAAACCCAAAGTCTTTTCCTTTCACCAGAACATTTAAACAGGGCTTTTAGCAGCTAAATATAAAATTACTTATAAATAAATTATGCAGGTTTTAAAATCAATTCTTTAAATTAAAAACAAAACAAAACAAAACCCTCTGTGACAGTTTCAGGGTGGTATCAGCAGTGTCCAAGGAATGCCCAGGAAGTCCAGACTTCCTGTCTCACTGAGCATGGGATGCCATCAAAAAAAGATGAAAAACTAATTGACCGTGAGTACAGGCTCGTTCTGAAACTAAGAACCTGTATTACTCTCTTCCCAGACATGAAGAGATGGGCTCCTAACATGCTAGGTGCATCTTACACTGAGTTTTTCCCTCCCCGATTTTACCCAAGTTCCACCACATCACCGACAAATTAGCCGGGGTCTGGAGTGCTGGCTGGAAAAGCAGGACGTGTCCTCTGTGTCTACAGTCTTTTAAGTAAACGATCACAGCCCTGCCCAAGCTGAGAAAGAGACTAACCTGCCTTTTTATAAAGGTCCACCCTTCAGGAAGGCTGCTCTAGCTAGTCAGTCTGTGCCTCATGTCAGGACACATGTACTGCTACCCCATGGTCACTACTGGCCTGTACCACACTCCAGTGGGCTCTTCTATCCCACGCTTTCTGGTTCTGGCAGCCCTCTCTGCCACAGGACCACCTCGTGGTTTTGGTAACCAATATGGAGCCCCTTTTTTGCCTCAGTAACCTACTCCCACTTCCTGACCTTGCTGCTCCCCGCCCGCCCACCCCACCATCACTGCTTGGTATGGTCCCTCGTTTCTGTCTCCTTCCAAAGTAAGACTGCCTTGGCTATGCTGGACGATATTCAGGGCGACAATACCAGGCAAGGCACCTAATCTCTCTGTGCCTCAGTTTCCTCGTCTGTGAAAAAGGGGTGATAATAATACTACATAGTTCATAGGCCTGGTGTAATTAATGAGCTTATAAACGATTTCAAACAGGGCCTGGTGCCTGATGGGCACTACCGCCACTATTATTTCTGTTTTGTTGGTCCAGGCCGAGCGGTAGCTGCAGCTGCGCCCTCCTTCCTCGTGCTGCCTCTGGATGGGCGAGCGCCAGCGCACTTGGAGTTCGTCTTCTCTCTCCCAGGTATGAAATAAATGGTGATTTTAAGGAAGCAGCACTCGGAACTCACCTTCAAGCCTGCTTTCTGCTTTCTACATCTATAAGAACTGCCCCAGCACAAATGTGGTGAGGGTGGAGCCATTGCTAGTTGAAAAATCTAATGTTCTCTTCAAATCGTCTCTACAGTAACCAATATTCTAAGTCAATGTAAAATGCTGCTAAAACTTATAACCTCCGATGCAAAATGTTATGGTATGTGGCAAGCTTATTTATCCGTATTTCCGCTCATCTATTTCCTTCTGCCTCAGTGCTTCAAAATTAACACATCGTATTGTTATATTTTCATAGCACCCATTTAAGTGCTCTGAGGAACCAGGGTGACGAGGAGGGCAGAGGAGCAGGCAAACAGGGCAAAAGATGATGCAGTGAGCAAATGGACCCACCAACTGCATGACCCTGGCAAACCATTCTACCTTTCTGAGGTATCTGCTCGCACGTAAAACTGGGATAAAGAGAACCATACTTATCGTGCAGGGGTTTACTAAGGATCACAAGTGTCTCTCCAATTAAATTGCGAACAATGTGAAGCTCATGAAGATTAGGAAGGCCTATGAAAATAACTCCCTAAGAGGGCAAATGGAGGATAATATTTGATATTAATACTTAGTACACTGAAACCTGCTGATGCAGAACAAATTAACACATCGTATTAACACTTGAGTATTATAAATAGTGATAAAGACTCATAATTACAAGGCAGAAGCCTTCATTGGAGGCATCTAAAAACAGATCTAGAAAAAGACTAACATGAGCAAAGGACTTAAAAATTAGTGCCTCTTGAAACAAGGTAATAACTTTCTTTTATTTATTCTTTTATTTTATACTATGTTGCTTTCATCCAAAGCGATGCAGTATACAGATAACAACAAAAAACTTTTTTTTTGAAATTTGAAATTAAAGGTCTCTATGTAAAACTTTTAAAGTTTAGTCTCAACAATATACCAGTCTGCAATACACATACCTTATAGCATAGTTATATTCTGAGGATAACCTAAAGGATTAGAAGCCACATAAGGAAAATAAAAAATTATAACTCTACTCTTCATTAAATTATGACTAATGTTCCATATTTGGACAGAAGAAGATCTAGACGACATTTTTAAAAAACTCTAACACCAAATAAGAAGTCAGGCAAGGAATATAAATCACCATACGACTCTTGTGTCTTACTAGTGACTACAAAAGAAAAAAGGAAATAACTTACCTCTATAGCAAAGATTCCTTTGTCACGCCCATATAATTTCATCTCCTCTGGAAAATGCTGAAAAGCATTTATGTAAGGAATATGGTCCTCTTCAACAAATCTATATTTTAAGAAAGAGTTTCTTATTAACCAGTGTCATCCCAATAAATTTAATTTTAAAAAAGTTTCAGTAAGAGATCTGTACTGAATTAGCAAAGTAAATGAGAGTTGAAAATGTTATATTTCAAAGACAAGGTAAGAATCAATTCAGTGTGTTGTTATTATGTTTTTAAGGGTGATAAATCTGAAAATATCTATAATTCTCTGTACCCATGCATGGAGAAAACATTTAGTCAATTATCTCATCATCTCTTAAGTTTCTGAGTAGATGAACAATTTATTTCTAAAAAGTGTATATCTTGTTGCTTCTCCGCCAGGCTTGCAGATATGGCAGCTCCTTCTCTCCACAGCTCCCCTCACATGATGAGCTCCTACTCGTTTTTTAAATTGCTTCTTTAGGGGGACTTTCCTTGACCCTTGTTGTGTTGGGACACCTTCCTTGTCTACCCTTCTGTCCCCAGTACCTACGACAGTGCATGGTACATGCTTGTCGGTGGAAGAACGATTAAGGGAAGCCTCCTTGCCCGTTTGCTTACCACCTCCTCCCAACATCTGGGACACAGCAGTTAATCAAATATTTTTGAGTAAATTACTGAGTTTGAAGAAAATAGCACACATATATAAATAAATATACATACATAATTATTTATAATTAATTCACCAGAAATGTATTGAGTACTATACATCCAGCACTATTCTAGGCTGTGGGGATACAGCAGTAAACAAAATAGGAAAATATTCTTGTTCTTAAGGAGTTTACATTCTATTGTAAAAGAGGAAGATGACAAAACAAATAAGTGAAAGATATAGTATGTTAGATAGAAAAAAACAGTTAAGGGGAAAAATAAAGTAGGGGAGAATAGAGAATGAGGAATAAGGGTAATGCAATCTGTACCATTATATATACATATCTATATATCAGATTTTTTTAAATAAGAAAATTGTTAAGGAAAATAAGATAAAGACAGGAATAAGTTAGTATAAAAAATATTTTGCTTTAAAGTTTTTGTGATTGGTAGAGCTAGCAGTTAAAGAACAATATTGATTCAACTTTAATTTCAAATTAAAAATGTAATTTCTTAAACTTTTTAGTCTACTAAAAGTGGAGAATTAAAGTAAATCTTTTATGTAAAATGGTGTTTTATAAAGTCTAATGATGAAACAGGGTTCATTACAGCAGCCCTATAAGGAAAACCACCCCACCCAGGTTTTCATTAGTTAATTCACAGAAGAGTATCTGTACACAGTAATCAGTATTTATATTATTTTGAAAGGACTTTTTTGGTTCAATATTATTTTATATACAAGATGTATTCCATGTTTATCGCTTTTATAACTATCTAGTATTCCATGATGTTAACATATTCATTAATTATCTAGTCATTCCCATGTGATAACACACACACACACACACACACACACACACGCACCACATGCACACACGCACACATGCACCCAGCACTGTATGAAGTGCTAGGAGTTCAGAGATGAGTAAGACATGAAAAATTCCTGCCATGACCCAAGCAGGTCACACAGTCAGCCTGCAGGTGAGTCGACATGGACAGTGCCGCCGTGTCCCCCCAGAGGCAGGCACAGGGCCGCAGGAGCAGAAACCTGCCCGGGGAAGCAGGCGAGTCGGCACAGAGCAGGTCTTGGGCATCCGGAGTTTTAACAATTTACATCATTTATAAATAGTGCTGCTCCTAACCTTTTTCCAGGTATTTTTTTCTTTTTGAATTTGAATTTCCTTTCAGAAAAGTACATGCTATTCCAAAAGACAGCCACCGCGTCAAAGTCCTGAACAGTCTATTTCCCTTGGTAAGTCTTATCAGATGAGTCTTTGGCTGGATCTAGGACGTTGACAGAGGAATGCCACACACTAAAACCCCTCCTGACCAACAGACCACTACTGTAGCCATGTCCCCTGGAAACCCTGTCTCTATTTACACTTTCATCATATTTTTCAAAAGTTTTAATCTCTGACAGAATGGAAATTTAACAAATTGGTTCTTCATTCCAGGTGATATAAGAAGCGCTGAATTAGAGTTAAGTCATATCTGCCTCCAAAACACATCTTGAGCCTATGTGCCTCATTCCAGTCACTAATGACTAACTGTATATGCAGAGAGGAAAGAGTCGAGGATGATGCTTAGGTTTCTGAATAGGATGCAACAGCGTGCATGGTATTTACAAAGAAAGAAAACACCAGAGAAGGAGCTGAACTGAGGAGAAAGATGATGAACCTCTTTTGGTCATGCTGATTTTGAGATACCGTAAAGACACACAAGGAGTGTCCAGCAAGCAGTTGTATATCATGTCATAATATTCATAATATATGGGTCTGGCCCTCAGTAGGCAAGTCTGGGCTGGAGATACAGATTTGGGAGTCATCATCATAGAGGCAGTAATTAAAGCCTTGGGAGAAGATGAGATCACCCAATGAGGGCATACAGAGCAAGATGAGGTTTTTAACTTAACAGTAAAATTTACTGAATCATAGACTATCTGTACACAGAGTTAATCACATTTGAGAAAAGCCTTGTTATTTGGTTGATGTGGCCAAAATCAAAGGCACTATCATAGTTTATTCAACCAAAGGGCCTAGTGCCAATGAAGATGATGATAATGAGGAAGGAGGAGGATGTGGAGGAGGAGGAGGAAGGAGGAAGGAAGCAGGAAGAAGGAAGACAGGAGGAGGAGGAAGAGGACAGCAAAAACAATAACCAGCACTGAGTTCCTACCATGTGCCGGGCACTGTCCAAGCGCTTTTGATGCAGTACTAGCTATAGAAAGCAGTTACAACCCTATGAGGCAGACATCGTCATCAGCCCCATTTTACCAGTGAGGTGACGGGCAGAGAGAAATTAAACAACTTACTCCGGGTCACGGAACATATAAGTGGCAGAGCCAGGATGCGAACCCAGGGATCTGTTTCTAAATCTGTTCTCTTAAAACCACTCTACACGCTGATCAAACCCAAATGTTATTAATTAGAACATAAAAAGCAAGGGAAAAAATTCACACATAAATGATTTTGGCACATCTTCCATTTCATGAGAAATTCTTATGCACAGTGCCATAATGTACTCATTAACTATAAAACCCTATAAATTATCTTTAAAAATGTAAATGCTGACTATCTACCCAACCCACTGGTTTTATTTTCAATTTTACCTTATAAACACAAGCAACCTATATTTTAGCTCTTAACAACACCAATGTATGCTTTTGTGTAACTACTAATAACCATTTGCCAATGTAAAATAAAGGTTATCTGTTCATCTTCTCCCTCAGAAATGAAAAATATTTAATAATACTACTCGGGTACTTAAATGTCACTTTTCACCTTCAAAGCATTTTGCTCACAGTAGATAATTAATTTTCCAACACTCCATGTAAGGTAAATACTATTATTACCACTATATAAATAAGGAAACCAAGGAGATGAATTACTAGCCCAGGAAGGATTAGAACTCAGGATCCCCAATATTTCCAGTCCCCTCCTCAATTTAAGCGTCCTGCAAAATTCAAAATATACAGAGGATGCCCCCTATCACACAGACAATTGGCAAAAGCATCACAGGAGGCCCAGCTTACCTCAGAAGATCGGAAAGAGTAATCGTCTCTCTTCGCCAAAGCAATGACAGAGAGCAGAAAGCGAGTGTCCTTGGCATGGTCATCTTCACAACCCCTTTCCGGTTTCGTAGTGAATATTCGACTCCATCGAGAGAGCCAGAACAGACGGATGCCGTCTCTTAGGGGACAAATGGAGATTTTTTTAAAGTGCAAGTAACTACTTTGGACAACAAAAGAAGAAACACTAAAAAATCCAAAGAAGTATTTTAAATATATTAAAATTAGGCTGTAATTGATAAAATCTTTACAAAATGCAATTTCCAATAAAGCGATGATGGTTTAAGAGGAAATTGGTCAAAAAGGTAATCGTTGGTTCTTTGTGAGAGCTGGATGGACTTGAATTCTGAAGAGGGATTTGACCTGTTTGAATTTTTAAACGTGAATATGAACAACTTTTCAAACACATGAAAGGGTAAACAATTACGAAGCAACACGCAAGTGTGTGACTGCTGTCTGGTCCAGGCCTCCTCTCACGCGCCCCTTCTCTGGACGCTTCCCGAGCACTGGCTAGGGTGGCACCGCCCCCCACTCCCACCCTCCAGGCATCTTCTACCACAGGGCATCATTTTATCCTCACTCGCTCCCTCCACACTTACTCGTCTCGTTCTGTGTGCCACTGCGCTAGGTCAAGGGAAATGACAGTGAGCAGGGCGTCACCTCTCTTGGAACTTCCATTCTAGTAATGGCAGACAGTCAATAAATAAAAAAATTACAACTGACTTATGGCGGTAGCCTTACACAGGAAAACGGCAATGTGTGGGGCATAGAAAGAGCGATGGGAAGGGAAGAGACATGCAACTTTACAGGAGTGGTCAGAGAAGATGATCGTCTTTGGGAAGAGGACATCTGAGCAGACCTGAATGAATTCAGGGAGGTCTTGAGGCTCTTGGGAAGAACACCAGGTGCATCGGCAGGAGTGAACCTGAAGGAACAGCAGGGAAGCCCGTGGGGCGAGAGCATCGTGGGTGAAGGGAAAGGGGGAGGAGACGACGATACAGGAGAGTAAGAAACCATATCATGTAGAGCTTTGTAGGTCACGAGTTGTCCTTTGGATTTTATTCTAAGTATAATAAGAAGTTTCTGGGGGAGTTTTAAACAGAGGAGCAACATGATCTCATTTATGTTTTAAAAAGGTCACTCCGGTTGCTACATGAAGAGTGGGTTATAGGAGGGCAGGAGTGGACATAGGACACCACCCCTCCGGGGGAGCAATGCCCGCCTGGACCGCAGTGGCAGCACGGCGGGTGGTGAGGAATGGCTGGATTCTGCGCAGAATTTGAAGGCAGAGTCAAAAGGATTTACTAAAGGACCTGATGGGAAATAGGAGAGAAAAAGAGAAGTCTGATTTTTAGGGTTTTGGTCTGAGCAACAAGAGAAATGGAGATACCGTTTACTGAGACAAGGAAGATGGCAAAGGAGGAGGTTTGATGAGAGGAATCCAGCCGCCAGAATTGCACACGGTGAGTGTGCAGGGTGAGTATGGTCTAATTAAATAGACACATGGAAATGTTGAGTAGATAACTGATTATAAAAATCTGTAGTTCGGAGGAGAGACTGAGCTAGAAAAAGGAATTTCAGAGTCTTTGGGATACAGCTGTTGTTTAAAGTCAGAGTGAAGGTAGACAGAAAGCAGGACTAGGAAGGAATCTGAGAGGCTCCGAGCTTTCCTGCACAAAAACTCTCCAAATTATTCTGCAGAATCCCTTTTCCCAAATTCTGTAAACCCTTTCTTCATAGCATTTACCAGTAACTGAACTTTTCTTTTTGATATGTGCGTTTATTGTCCAGCTCCTCTTGCTACAGTCTAAACACCTTGAAGGCACACAGCCTTGCTCACCACTGTGTCCCCACTGCCCAAAACAGGCCCAAGCACGGAGTAGGAACCCCAGAAATATTTGGTAACAAATGGGTCTCGCAGTTCAACTTCTGAAAAAATTCAGGGTCAAGGCATGTTGTGGCAGCACTATTTATAATACGAAAAAAATTTTTTTAAACAATCTAAGTGACTGGAATAGAAAATTAATTAAATAACTCCATACAATGGAATACTACATAACAATTTACACAATGTTTTTAGGCAGTGGTTCTCAAAGTATTGCCCCTGGACCAGCTGCACGAGCATCAACTGACAACTTTGGAGAGCTATGCCGATCTGTGTTCTAACAAGCCTTGTAGGTATCCTGATGGCTGCTAAAGTTTGAGGATGACTGTTTTCAAAGAATATATAAGGATACAGGTTTCCATAAAATATTATGTTAAAAAGATATAGAACGACATATAGCAACTAACTTCCAGTTACGATGAAAGACTGAAAATACACATTCACCTCTGCTCTGTCTCACTTCAACAATCATAAAGGCATTTTAAAAAGATATAAACCCAAGAACAGAAAACTTGGAAAAAGAGACAACAGCAATAAAATTTTAGAAGCTATAAAGCACACAGACAGGTGGTTACTGCCTTAGCAGTCCTGAGAAAGCTGGAGTCAAAGTCAGGACAGGGAAAACCAAAAACCAATCGAATTCCCCCCCTGGGGACCTCTAAAGAAGGCTCGGGAATTGGTAAAACCAGGTACCCTTGGAAACGGGGTGAAGGTAGGGCTGACACCGAAGGACCGCTTGAAAGTCAGATTAAGAAAGTTAGACACTCGGATTCCTACCCCAGCTCCTGCAGCCAAATGCCTACTCCTCCCCAAACCTGGCAGAAAAGTGGAAGTTTCTCCTCTAGAGAGAGTAAAATAAAAGATCTCTAGAATAGGGCCCTCAATCACATATAGTTGAGAGTAGGGGTATCTTACATCAAGCAGCAGGGTTAAGTGAAAGTTTACTTTCTGAGTCTCGAGACAACCCCCATTTCCCTCGGGCCCTCTCTTCCCGCCCACTTCCCAAAGCAGCCAAGATTACACCCTTCAACCAGAAGACTCAAAGAGATTTCTCTAGAAAATCTGATCAGCTCCAGGGGAAAAGATTTCAAAATGATAATGCTGGAGGTTCACTTTAGAAAATAATCCAGCTAGATCACCCTCTCATGCAGAGTAGCGCTGACGAGACTCGCCATGGTACAAAGCTTTAAATCAACTTTTTTGTCCCCATTCTTAAGCAAGACTAGCCATCTCGGGCTCACGAAACATTTGAAGAAAGTCTCTGTTACAGCCACGTGTCACTTAACAAAAAAAATAATACGTTCTGAGAAACTGGTCATCATGCGACCATAGGGTATACTTACCCAAAGCTAGGTAGTATAGCCTACTACACACCTAAGGGGTAGGGGGTGGGGGGGCGGTGCGGGCTTGGAGGGAGGTGCCCTGGGAGGGAGAGTAGATCTTAGGAAGAGGGAGAGAGGAGGGAGAGAGGGAAGAGAATGGGAAAGAAAAGGAGAGCAGAGATCAAAAGAGACACAGAGATTAAAGCTTGAGGCAAGGAATAATAAAAGAGAGAGAGGGAGGAGGGAGAGAGACAGAAAGACAGAGACTGGGTGGGTGGGGAGGGAGAGAGAGAGAGAGAAAGAGAGAGAGAGGAAGAGAGGAAATGAACTGGGACAAGAGATAGAGAAATGGAGAAAAGGAAAGTGAGTTGTGTGCACAGTCTGCATGCAAGGTGGGGAGCGAAGGGCAGGGTGGGGGGCAGGTAGGCTCCCCACCACACACACACTCCCCAGCCCCATCCTCTTGCTCCCTCCCGGAATTCTGGTCCCAGCCTTGAACACCACATTGAGCTTCTTCTTCTATTTAAAGCACCTAGAGCTGGCTGTAATTTCAACATCATAGTTGGGTCCAGTATTTCGCAAACTTTTTGTTTCTAATCCATTATAATCTTATGGGACCACTGTGTATATGTGGTGCCTCCTTCACAGAAATGTCATAAAGCAGCATACAACTGTATAAACAGCAGAGGCCAAAACAATCAAATGGGGCGGGGGGATATCAATATCCTCAGCTAAATAAGATGCTCCACAAAAACGATGCATAAATCAGAAAAGAAGATAAAATGGGATCAAGAAAATAAGGAATTTAATAAAAGAAGAGGTGACCAAATCCTCAGGATGGTGGTAGAGCTATCAAAGTCAGCCAGGTCACAGGTTTAAAGATAGAGCATTCTAGATCGAAGCGGGTCAGAAGCTCCAGAAAGCCTTCTAGAGGATAAAATTGACAGACTAAGGAATTGAGAGATTTTTTTCAGAACTAGGAGGAAGTATGGAGATATGTTATTAATAAACTGTAGATTAGTAATAAATAGAAAACTAAACTAAGACAAGTACCAGCACAAGAAAAACCAAAGGATACACAGAAGGTGTAATCTATAGTAAATTATACAGCTCAGTTCTGAGCCGCACTTATGTTTATAATAATTTAAGCACTAAAGATTGATCTGGTAAAAAAAAATAATTATATCAGGAAGATAGAAAATGAAAAATGAAAAATTGTGTGCTGGTGACTCCATGGGAGGAGGGGCAGCGAGGAATGCACGAAAGAGCTAAGACTTCCTCATCCACAGAGGGAACTTGACAGCTGACGTCCCGAACCAGGACTCAAGACGCAGTACTAGACGCGCATGACACACAGAGCATGGAGGCTGCAGAAGAGCTGGAAACGAACGTCTCTTGAGAACAGGACATTTTGGGGAAACAGTGGAATATAATTTTTCTGTTTTTTATTTTTACAATTTTTTATAACAAGCTTCATAAATATATTTGAATTATATGCATGTAGAACTTTGATTAAAAAATGTAAAGGATGAAGAAATAGTTCACATTTTTGCAAAGACAAAATAATAAAACTCCCTTTCTCTCCATATGTACATTCCTTTCTGGAATGATCTACTATGACAATAATGGTTATTTCTGGGTGGTACAATAACTGGTAATTTTACTTTCTTTGTGACCATCTGTATTTTAGTTTCGTAATAAGAGTTGTATTAAGAGTTATTTTTAATGTAAAAACTAAAATAAAGCTCTATTATTAAAACTCACTAAAAAACACAACAAAACCTTAATATAGGTAAACAGCTACGATGCTGTAAAAGGCAGGGATGCTTTGAGCCACAGCTCCCTGGGACGGGGCTCAGGCTTGCCTGAAAGCACAGAGGAAACTCAGAGCCGCCCGATCAGTCTGTGATTCCAACTTCTTTACTTCCTTGGCCAGAAAAGTGACTTATCTGATATCTGTCACGGTGCAGTCTAGCAAGAAATGCGGATATGCCGATAAAAGGAATTTTTAATCTTTGGAGGGCAAGGGGCTTGCAAAGCAGCAGTCCGTACAAGAAATGTTTTGTTGAAAATTTTATATAACCACACTTAACCCAGATTTCAACAATATCTAACACCGGAGGGTTTGGGAGCTATCTCCCAAAGAACTCTGTCAGCGCACATCAAGATTCTAGTAAACTATAACAAAAGCCTGGTCTGTTCTTTGAGGTCTGTTTTCTACCATGTTGTTTTGTTTTAAAAAACATAGAATGGAAATGGCTAAAATTATGAATAAATGCTTTGAGGAGAAGGTCTATGTCTGTAACCTTAAATATACTCCTTATCTATTTTAAATTATGGAATTCAACCAGAAAATAAGACACACATACACACATGTAATGTGGTGAATTCTGCTCAGCTTGTTTTAGTCTGTGTTTAGAAATGAGGCATATAATTTTTGACTTTTGTCTACTTTACCATACGGCTAGATCTATCATTTCTCTGCTCCAAATTTTCTTTGAAAATTCTGAGCTCCAACATGTACACAATCTTTACTGAGTTAAGTCTCCTTCTTTCTGGATCCACTTAATGTTTAGCTCCCTTTAAACATCACGCAAGAATACTAATGTGGAGACAATGTACCTTTTAAAAAATTACACTGAGATTTTATTTGATTTACCTCTCTCCTAGCCATATGATTTTGCTAGGCCAAGTTCCTCTTCTTGGAATATGAAGAGATTAGGCATACCACATTATTGTAAAGATGCACTGCCAACTTTAAAATTCTAGGTCGTTTGATGCTCATTTTTACCCGATTGTGATGCTTTGTTGATGGGGAAAGGCTTTCGCATGTGGACATCAGGCTGAGACTCTGCTCCACTTTCAACAAAAGAAGGACAGCTAAAGTCACTTAGCAGCTCGGGTTCACTATCCCAGTCTGAATGACTTGGATTTTCTTCCAATACCTAGTTACAAGGTGATATAAATTAAATTATTGCATAGGAATTTAAATGCAATTAATTTCCATCCCGAAAGCCATAAAAGAAGCCACTCCGGAGAACTGCGACTGTCTGCGGAGCCCCACAGACAGACTATCCCATATCCTGGTTTAATTTTTTTCACATGTATTACTGAAATGGTAGTTAAAGGATCCCTAACAAAGATCAGAAAGCCGCCTACCTCGAGGCCTCATTAGCTGACATTACCTTGGGGGAAGTGATCACAATCAAAAAGCCATGCTTTCAGCCATGCGGGCCAAGAAGCTAGATCTTATTAAGAGGAGATAAGACTCATGTTAAGGAAACTCACAAGAGAATAAAGGAAAAAATTAAAAATCCGGGATATGATGTTTGTGTCCTCCGTCAAGGACACATCTTCTCTGTAGGCAAGCGCGTGAGATGCATGGTACACTATAAAGTGGCAGATGAGCATAAACTCACCAAGAAAACTGAAGCAAGCAGAAGGAAACCTCCACAGGTTAGTGCAGGCAGCCATCTGCCAGCAGCGTGACCGCATACCCTGCCCTGTCTGAGCTTTCTGGTGGACTCTCCAGACTCCCGTCTAAAGCCAGTTTCTTCCTTGTGCACTCGACCCCACCCGTCTCTACTCAAAGATTCACTTCTACTTCTACTCTCTTTCTCTCCATTGAACATTTCTTCTCTCTCCTGTATTGGGTATATCAGTACAAGAACATTCTATCATTTATGCCACTTAAAAAAAACCTTCCTTGACTCCAGCTATGCTGCAATTTCTTTGCACAGGTGTACCTTGTTTTACTGCATTTCATTTCATTGCACTTCACAGATGTTGCATTTTTCACAAATTGAAGGCAAGACTCTCCACCAGCAAAAAGATTACAACTCGCCTTAGAGAGAGAGTCTCCTGCTTCAGTGGTCTGGAAGCCAACCTACAATGTCTCCGAGTTGGGCCTGTACTTCTTTGCAGCGATGCCTTGAAAGTTATCCAGACTTGCAGGGTCTGATTTCTCTCCTCCTGGACTATCTTATTCCTCCATTCCAATAAAACTTTTGATCCCACTCCTCCGCTCGTCGCCATTTAGCTTTCTTTCCTTCCTGAGCAGGCAGCAGCCTTTCTCGCAGCTGATCAGGTCCCTCCTCTTGAAACACTTTGTTCCTTAGTTTTCAGAACATCCCCCTCACTCTCTTGGCTTCCTCCTACTTCACTAGCCCTTTCTCAGACTTCTTCTACCCCAGACATCTTAATCCTAGCGTGGCCTAGAGCTCAGTGCTTGGTCCTCTTCTCTGTCTTCATGCCTTGGCGATGTCATCTCATCCTGTAGTTTTCAATACTATCTACGATATTGTTTTCAATTCTAAAATAATGGTGCATCTTACAAACAATGGCATTTTAGATTTCACGATTATAGTATAAATTGACAGCTTCCAAATTTATACTTCCAGCCCAGACCTCTCTCCTAAAAACTTGCATATCTAACTGAGTACTTGACATTTCCTCCTGGATGCCTAAAAGGCGTCTCAAACTTAACGTGTCCAACACTGACTATTGATCTTCCTGCCCCACCTGTTATTTCAGTTGATGGCAATTCCTTCCAGAAGCTCAGGTGAAAATCTCTGAGTCATCCTTGATGACTTCTCTCTTTCTCTTACACCCCACCATCCAATCCATCGGAAAATTCTGTTGGTTCTATCCAAAGTTTCTCTAGAATCCTACCACTTGTCATTTCCACTGCTACCACCTGGTTCCAGCCACCATCATTTCTCATCTGGAGCAGTGCTTCTGAAACTTTAGCGTGTACAGAAAGCACGCAGGAACCATGCTAAAATGCAGACTCTGATTTAGCAGCTGTTGGGTGAGGCCCGAAAGCTGCACGTCCTCCCCTAGATAGCCTCATGGCTTACTCGCCTGCTTCCTTAAGACCAAATATTTCTTTATGTTTCAATTAGTCAAATAAGTCAAAATCAATCTCGATGTCTAGATCAGTGACCTTGTTTCTGGGCTGTAATAGAAGCCTCTTCACAGAGAATCCTCTGACCAGCCTCATAAACCCAGGTGAGGCTGAAGCCATCTTCGCCTCTACCGCTCACTAGAAACGTCTTCTTGTGGCACTTTCAGACCTGGGACTTACCGTGGCTTTCCTTCTGCTGGTATAAACTGGGTTTTTACAATATGCCTGCTTGCTCTTCTGAAGGTAGCGCTTCCAAAAATTATGTAAAACTTCATTCTAGGGTGAAAGGGAAATGAGGGGTGATTCAGGTTATGATGACAAATACGTCTATACCACAGGATCTCTTGTTCTTTACATATTGTCCTATGTAAATATTTTCTAACCTACGTTTCCTTAACTAGCAATCTTACCTAATGTAATGACTATCACGCATACACTTCTGGTGTTTCATGTGTTTGAGCTTTTAATTCCTATAAGACTTTTCAGGTCAGCCCAGAGTCCCCGCAGGCTGCACACTGGTCCAGAGGCCACTCTGTTAGGGGTCGTCCCAGACACTGGTGCGAACAAAGCCTCCTCCACAGACCTTTCTTTGATGACTTGAGTCGACGTTGATCTTTATTCCTTCTCTTTTTGCCTTTACTGTCACTTGTGAGCAACCACTACATAATTTTGTGTTTATTCATTCCACATATACATAAAACCCTCTCTCCGACTAGGCTAGATCTCTTAGCACTTGGTTTCCAATGATGGGCATGAAGCAAATGTACAAAAACCGCAGGTTGCTAAGTAACTGGCTTTTAAAGAATTCTTGTAATGGCTTCAACTACATGAGAAATATGAAATTCAAATAACAGTAGGGATACTATGGTACTTCTGAGAGGCAGCAAAGTCAAAGTGTTGTCCCTGGACCAGTGGCACCGGTGTCACCTGAGAACTTGCTAGAAGTGCAAATTCTTGGGCTTTTCTCCAGACCTACTGAATCAGAAACTGGAATGGGGTCCAGCGATCTGTATTTTAGCAAGCCCTCCGGGTGATTCTGACACAAATTCAAGTTTGACAACCACTGCTTTCAGGTAGCACCCCCAAAGTACATTCTGGAACTCAAGAGTAGTGATAGACACTACACACAAATACAAACTTTACTAAAGGGTTCTGTTCTCAAACCATGAATACTGCATACTATGTCCCTTTGGAAATTTAATAAGCACATTAACACACAAAAGGTACCAGTAATTCTGCAAAGTTGTTTTACTTCGTTTAACCGACTGTTTCCTAAATATCTGATGACTCAAATCTTTTTTATTTTCTTTCAGATGCACTGCTTATTTATATCCTTTAGAATACGATTTGAGAATTGCTGGTCTAATAAAAAGATTAAAGCAAAAATACCAGAAAAATGGTTCTTCCGGTAACCCCAGTGTTATTACCTATAACTCTACTTTTCTCCTTCGTTTCACTCTAAATCTTACTGTTCTTCAAACAACAAAATGTAAAGCTAACATCTAGATACAAACAGACTTACCTTTAATTCTGGGCCTACTCCAAGGGTCTTCAAGGCTTCTGCTTGTTGGTAAAGTACGTGCTGAAAACCTTCGCACACATACCAATCCCAGCCTTTCTCTAAATGACAAGTAACACGTTTCAGACACTTGCATTCCTAATTTACTAACTGCAATGCTACTACAAAGTAACAATTGTGTTTTACATATTGCAACTGGAATTTTTTTGTATCCTTAAATAGGGTTTCCATTCTTATGGTTCTCTTGTTTCCGATGTGGTAAATTTGTACATGAATGCTAAAGCTACACATTATTTTTCTATAATTTATCAGATTTTAAATATTTTAAGTTATCTATAGTTTTTCTGAAATGTTAATGTAAAAGGCAGAGAAATGAACAGTCATCATGTTGAAAAAGTGAAGTAAGTTTTAAAAATGCATACGGTACTGAATAATGCCCACTAACGTCCTGAGTGGAGGAATATTCAATACTCAGCCACCGCTTATACCACCCCTCTGTTCCAAATGACAAAGAAAGGGAACAATGAGCATTTGGAGAATGGATGAACAAAAGCCAAGATGTGATGGTCACTATACAAGAAAGGGCAATAAGAACATTCAAAAATAATAAACTGCTCGATGGCATTCTGCTTTTCTGGAAATGGATCTAGGTTATAGGGAGAAATTGAAAACAAAGAATCAAATACTTATGGAGTTTTGCCTAGGTGCCAGGTGTGTGCTTGCCATTGTAAATAGGTTATTTTCTTCAACCCTCAAAACAACCCTAAGAGATTGTGAAGAAATCTTGCTACCACAATAGACAACAGCTACATGTTTCACAGAACTACATTTAAAGAAAATGTTAAAATCTGTTAAGACTCTTATATTTTACCCCTCCCTGCTGGAAAAAATACTATACTTTTTGAAAAGTACGTTATCAGCTTTTTTATACATAGCTTCTGAAGTCTGTTACTATGACTCCAAGATCCCCTCTCTCCTGCAGAATGTCATAGGACTCCTACTCACCTTCCTCATCTTAGTCTCACAAGGTCTCCCCATCCCTGTTAACTCTTAGGTTGTATATGAGTAAAACAGAAAGCCTGTAATTTTGGTGCACCCCTCAAGTTGAAGCTGAGGGAGTTTAAACTCTTGAAGCTGTATATCTGGGCTCTCTCCTTCCTGCACACTGTTGTTACAAACTGACAAAGTCAGATTTTAAGTTCTGCATCTGGGTTCCTATTTTATATAACAAATGGTATTACCATTCCCATTTTACAGATGAAGAAACTAAGGTCAAAGAGATTGAATATAAGACACTTGATGTCTAATTTGAAGCACCTAAAGTTCCTTCAGCAACTTAAGTTTAAACTCTATATTTTAATTATTTATTACATAGGCCAAGTCTAAATTGTTCAGGTTTTACCCTAATTAAACTTAATTAAAATTAATCAAGTTTTAGCCTTATGAAAATAGTCACTATTAAAAGTTAAACGGGAACACGTTAGCATTTAGACATTCTCTCTGTTATTCATCTAAGAGTGTCAATGTATTTAATATTGACATTTCATTACGTTTATACATATATAATATATGTCATGTTTGTGTATCCTTAAAGCTACCACATATAGAAGAGTCCATCATTATCATCAGCCTGGTTTCAAACTTGAGAATCCGGTCCTAGGTAATTAGTCACGGAAATATAAAGCATCAGGTAGACTTTACTTCAGAGTCTTCTCGATAATGGTTAATTATATGTACTCACTGGATTAATAAAATAGATTGCCTTTCAAAGCACACCCATGCTAAGGCTATTTCAAGGGAAAATCATTTTTCCTATTTTAAAAGGGTGTGTATCATTTTTCCTATTTTAAAAGGGTGTGTTCAAAATTCAATGTGAGTAATGGATTTCTAAAAGTTGACTATCGAGTTTAACTCGCCTAACCTGACAATTCCAGCTGAATTGTTTCGGAAAATAAGCATTTTCCTTTAAAAGCACAGAAAATCACATTCATAATAGATGATATAGAACAGAAAAACATATGCCAACAGATAAATAGAAATATGCTATTTTTGCTATCATTAATTTTTGCATGATAATTGCTGCACTAGAACAGTAACTCACTGACAACTGGCTGGATAAAAAAGGACACGCTTTAAGACACTTGCTTCCAATTTTACCATCAATAATTACCCACTTTAATTCCATTTTGAATAATCTGTTTAAAATTCTGGCAACTTTTCTAGAATCTATTTAATATTCCATTCCACATCCCCAAATCATGAAGGTGAGAAACATGAATGCAAGCACATATAAAGAAAGAGCTTACCAAGTTTTCTTTTTCTTTTAAGTCCCCGGTTGATGGCTTGTATTTTAGTATTTGGAATAGCCTCAGTGCTTATAACTTCCTTGGATCTCTGCAGGAAACAGACCGTTAAAAAGATAGCTTTACCTCTTCCTAAATATATTTCCAAGCATGTTCTGGAAGTATCAGAACCAAACTGTGAATGCCAAGACCAATGATGGTAACATTTTGGGAAAATTACATAAATTGGGACATTCTGATTAACCTTTATGTTGCTTTCACATTCAAAATTAATTAGTATCTAAAACTGTGTCTGGAATATAGTATACACTAAATAAATGTCTGTCAATAAATAAACTTTTATTTTTATTTTTTATTTGTTTCAAACTAAACCTAAGGTCAAATGTATTCACTTTTTTCTGTATCCAAAACACATTTTGGAATTAAAATAATTCCTGTATTTATTGTAATCAGCAATGCCTAAGCTACACATAGATTAGTTTCATCCTACTTTTCTGTGTGTTTGAATAATACTCTAAAACAGCTTTATTTATGAAACTACAAAAGTACTACTTTTTATTTTTAATCAACTTAATAGGATTTTGGAAGGACTAGATGGTAAATTTCATCCCAAAGTCTTCAATTCCAAGTGCTCTCAGGGCTTGGTACCTAACATTCTAGCCCTCTCTCACACACAAATACAAAAAAAGTATTAAGTCTTAATGATGTGGAAAAGGTGAAGATTTTTAACTAACAGGGAACATTTATATATTTCTCTGAAGTTAGATTTAGAATTAAATTTATCTTCAACAGGATTTTGGGAATGCATTTTCTCTAGTCACAGACACCACATTCAAAGGAGTTCTGGCAGACTGGGTTGGCCTCAGTAAGAGCATAAGACACATCCGAATACATGCCAAAGCAGTTTCCCAGGAGAGACATTTAGAAGTTTTAGGTAAAACTTCTAAAGAGCAGGCAGAAAAAAAAGGTTTAAAATCTGACTAGATAAAATGTGAAATAACTAAAAGCTAGAAAAAGCTAAAAATCTAAATTGGAGCTATAATTTATTAAATTACTAGATGGTTGGTTGTATTATGGACTACTTATACAGTCAATTAAAATGTCCACAAATGTTTAGAATGATGCAGGGAAATAATTTATTAAGACAGAACATTCAATAATACATCCCTTTTCCCTTCTGATATACAGAAAAAAAAAAAAAGACACTAGACAGAAGCTACTGAAATGCTGTGTATTGAGATTATAGGTGATTTTAGCTCTCATCTTCATAATTTCCAAATTTTCTACAATAAATTTGCTCTTATAGTCACAAAAGTCTAGTAAACTCATGCGATTCTAGCCTACACCTTATTACATACCCATGAAATACTTGCAAGAATATCTATCATACAAATTGGCCAGATTTAAAACCTGAAAAAATTTTTCCTATATAAAATATACCAAGAGAACATTCTAATTCCTTTATCAATCCAGAAGGCTCCTTCCAGACTGCAGGGAGGATGTAGAGCTTGAGGGCTATATATGGAGAAAGATGGAGGGCAATGAGAGGGGAGGAAAATAGGGAAAGTTGTATCATGACTTCTGCTCTTCGTAGGTGTGACGACAGTCTCGTCAGCCATTCCCCGCCTAATGGATTTCAACACCTTCACACTCAATACCACACTCCAGACAGTGCCTGGCAAATCATGTTCTATATGAAGACCATGCCTGGACTGCCACAAGCCCAGAGTAACCACTGAAGCTGTGCAACACACGGTTTTGTCTACCACATGGAAGGCACTGAATTAAATTCTTGGCCTATATAAAAATGTTGCTCACTTTCAAGAATGCTACATTCTTAACAAATTACTCCACAGAGGTTGATAGTCGCTCAAATGTGGAACTAGGTAGTGGTATTTGGGTCATTCAAATTAAAATATGACTATAGCAGATTTTATCAGATAAAAACAAATAAAAACATTATCAAAGACAGAAATAAAATATGCAATTAGTTAATGTAGTTTAATGTCTACAAAAATAGTACCTTGACTTCATCTGCTAATGGCAAATAGTCCATTTAGACACAACCTTCCTTCACTGTGTTTACATTTACACTGCTGGTGCAAAAGCAGTGATGAGTGTAACTGCCAGTGGCTGACATGCAGCAAAGCAGAGAGGCTGGAACTGCACATATTTAAAGTCCATAATTTCATATGTGTGTGTGTGTCCATGAAACCATCACTGTAATCAAGATAATGGACATATCCGTCACCCCCACAATTTCATCAGGCGAGCACTGATCTTTTTAACATCCCGTGTGACTAAATGGGAGTAGACATGAGAACTTCCGCTGCAGACAGAAGAACGATTGCCTCAAGGAAAAGCTCTTGGGTGATCTGAGTTGCAAGCCAAATTAACAACTTTTCTCAAGGGAAATTTTTTTTTTTTACTTGCTTCATTTTTTTTTTTTTCCCGGGTTTTTAGTTGTTTAAGGTAGGAAGGTAAATCTGGATCCCGTTACTTCATCTTGGCCAGAAGCAGAAGTCGACACAGCTACTTTTATCTGTCCCAAATGTGCTTCTTTGAAGCCTATGTGGTAAAGGTAATATTTGTCCCTTCCTGGCCCTGTAGACTTAGAGCAAATCCTTTTCCAGAGAGGAGTTTAGCCTGTCCAACAGCAGGTTGGCCACACCCTTGGTTATTTTCGTTATATTGCCCCGAAGGTGTGTAACCAAAACAGGACCTAGCACTTCCAATGTGAAGGCAGTCTCATTTACCAAGGCCACACAGGATAGTATGACAATTTCTATTTTAAGAGGCAGGTGTGGTGGGGTAACATGAATACTGGAGTCAGAAGATTCAGGTTCAAGTCCTGGCTCAACACTTTATACTTTTGTGACTTTCGCAAACTCACTCAACTGGTGAGCCCTACTTGCCCCATCTACAGATAGGCATGATAGCATATCTCACAAGTTAAGAGGAGGACATTAAATAACGGGTAAGAAAACACTTGTTAATCTGTAAAGTACTACACAAAGATAAAATAATGGTGAAGCATACTTCCAATACTTCCAATAGTACTCAATCTTCCCAATATTCCATCTTCCAGACCTCTAAGCTACCACATTAAAACTCGTAAATAAGTATTAACTAATAAAAAGAAATGCACCATCTTCTAAGTATAATTTTAATTATTTCCCCTTATACTACACAATCTGATTGAATCAGGAAATCGTTTATATACAGGGTCCAACATAATTTCAAAAACTCATCCGAAATCTAATTTACAAATTTCTTAATCTCTGTGTAAGCACTTGAAGACTACTTACATTCTTGGAATCTGGGCTTTGCATGAGTGGTTAAAAATAGATAAATTCTTTGGGAACCATGCCACATATCAGGCTGAAATTGCAATTTTTAAAACATAAGCAAATTCATAAATGAGATCTGTAACTTACCTCTGTAACGTTGTGGCAACAAGTGCAGTAATATTTGCCTTCATCAGTAAGACCCCAAGAGACAGCAGCACACTGAGTGCAGCGTTCTCTGAACTCTTCCTAGAGGGGAAAAAAAAACCCCGCATTCAATACATTGTATCTAAACCCTGCAGTTCTATCAGTGTTCCCTGCAATTTTACTCTATAAAAAAAAAAATCATAGAAAATGGAAAATATATGAGAGATTATCTTTAAA